TCACTTGCATAATCATTTGTCTCATGCATATGCATCTAACGTTCCAAAAAAAAACATTCAATTGTTCAGTGGAGTGCAAATTAATGAGGCATTAAGGATGCAAATGGAAGTTCAGAAGCGTCTTCATGAACAGCTTGAGGTAAGGTCTCTTTCTCTCACTTCACCTTAAATTGCTGGAAGAGAGATGTAGTCTGCCCTGCGATATCTTTATTGGAAGGAAAGCTCATAGAAAGAAAATTGTTTCTGACAGACGCAGAAAAAGAATTACTCAAGCGCTAAAAGGAAAGTTTTCAAGTTTATGCTGAAAATTATTTTGCAAAAATTGAAAATAGTTAATCCAGCAATTACATAGCCTAGAGGTCAAGGTTTTTGTATGCCATTTTTCTTCTCCGGGGCCTGAGTTTGGCTCTGGCTTTGGGAATATGGATTGGGTAATAATTGTTTTTCAATAAAAATAATGTTGTAGAGATGGGAAAATCGGTGGGTGGATGTTCTGCAAATGCCCATCTTTTTTCTGTGTTCTTCAATTTTTGTTCTTAGATCCGACCATAGTGTTGCTCGTTCATTTCTGCAGTAGAGCATGATTCAGGAACTGTTTCCTGATCTCCTATCCTCTCAGAATCAAGTGCAGGCACTTAATATGATGAAAACTTGTAATGAGCTGTTCATGTATGCGATTTAGGGGGATGGTTATTGTCATTTTGTTCTGGTCAGTGTCTACTCATTGGTGGCTTTACAAAGAATTCACTAATGTCTGAAAATCAATTCAGGTTCAAAGACAGTTGCAAATGAGAATAGAAGCTCAGGGTAAATACTTGCAGAAGATCATCGAGGAGCAGCAAAAGTTTGGTGGTTCACTCAAAGCATCAGAAGCGTTACCATCAGCTGAGGAAAAGCAGAAGCCAGCTCATTTGGAGACAATGGGCGATGCATCGGCCGCACCCTCATCTCCCCGAAAGAAACAAAGGGTGGATGAAGGGCTGGCAGACGGTTGCGCCACATCTAATCTGCCTCTAAAAGCTGACCAGAAGAACGAATTTGTGGGTCAGTGGGATCGAGAAGTGTATGGAAGTGACGGTGGATATGGATTTGGCTTGCAAACAGAGTTTAAAGAAAGAGATGGCGGTGCTGCACAGAAAGCACCTATGGAGTTAGATCCCTTGTGTGGTTCAAAACAATAGGAAGGAATCACCATTGTTGGTAGTCTTTGATGAAGCAGTCTTTGTGCAATTAATTAGAAACCATGTTATGTATACCACGTAAATATACATGCGATCGACTTGTAATTATACAATGTATGAATTTTCCTTAGTGTACAAGTAGCATGTAAACTCCAACTCCCCAGAAAATATGTTTGTTGTTAGTTTAAGTACACTCATCGACGTTGTTCCTACTGTCATGGTTTTGTGCCTGAAGTGAGTGATTTTTATGATGATGTTCTGCAAATATTCACGAAGACATCGTTGCATTCAACTTTGAAAGTATGCGCGTGCTACTATTGATAGAAATCTCTCCGACAGTTTGACTCTCTCTACCCGTCGGTTGATGAGGATCGGAACAACAGATAGCGGTTACGGTGCTCGGAACAACTTTCATATCTGATAGGAGCATATATATGCGACTTTGTTAGTTTACTCCTTTGCATTTGCTTAGTTCCTATTTATAAGAGTGTTTTAAGCTATTTTTGTGTGTTTGTAGGTCCATGTAGACATCGAAATTTCGATGAAATAAATGTTGATCAATAATTAGAATTTCAACGTTCACGTGTCACATAAATTTTACACATAGCATGTGACTCAACAAAAAATCGAGAATCATCAGAAAAGTCATCAAACATGACACGTGTCAACGCTTGACAGAAATGATTTATTTCATCTGATTATTTAAACCCAAAAATCAAATTTTGGAATTCTATAAATAGGAAGCCAAGGCATTCATTTGGGACACAAATTCATAACCAATTCACCTCACACCAAAACCTTGAAGCTTTGAAACTCCAAAGTTCCTAAGCAAATCCCAAAGGATCAACAAAACTCTCTTTGTTCTTTGTCAAATTTCATTCAAGATCAAGCCCCAACGGACCTTTGAAGGAACTCTCTCCAATTCAAGATCAAGCCCCGACGGCCCTTGAAGAAAGCGTTCATCGTTCATCATTCATTCATCTTAAGATCAAGCCCCAACGGCCCTTTGGATCAACAACATCAACAAATCCACATATCCAACCGTTCTTCAAGATAAAGCCCAAAAGCCCTTGAAGATCCATTCATCAACTGTTCATCAAGATCAAGCCCCAAAGGCCCTTGAAGATTCGTTCATCAACAGTTCTTCAAGATCAAGCCCAAAAGCCTTGAAGATCCGTTCATCCATCAAACCTTCAAGATCAAGCCCAAACCTTGAAGAAACTTCCCTCAACCTTCAAGATTAAGCCCCCAATGGCCCTTGAAGAAAACTTTCAACCGTTCATCCAAGATCGAGCCTCGATGGCCCTTGGATCAGCATCACAATCCACAAATCAACACCTTATGGAGATCGAATCAGAGGATCAAATTTGAGAGAGATTGTAACCCCTAAATCATTAATACAAAATATTATTTTATACACGTGCTCTTGTTTCGTTTGTTTCAGGAAAATTTCGTGTTTACAGTCCAATTGACAAAGGTGACAAAAAATGGCAATTTGGAACATTTTGGAGCAGTTTTAGATTTGGAATGGATAGCATACGTATGGAGCAAGTTGGATGGACATTTTTGAAGTTTAAATGAGGCTAGGAATGTGCTACAAATCTGAAGAAATTAAATCAAGACTTGGAAGCTAAGGAATGAGCTAAAAAGAAGGAAACCTAAACCAACCTTATCTAATCCTATCCTATCCTTATCCAAACTTACCTTATCTTATCCAGTTTTGTTTTATCTCAACCTTATTTTATCTTATCTTATTATATTCTAATCCTACCTTACCTTATCTCCAGCTGCAAGGGGGATTCCTTATCACATTCAACCACTTCTAATCTGATTTAAGGAGTCCTAAAACACTACAAACAACTCAATCCTTTTCCACCACAAAGTAGACCGTGCCCTAGCCCTATAAATACAAGTTATTGCTGTAGCTTTTAGGGGAAGTTTAGAGAGAAATTAGTGAGAGTGCTGCAGGTTTTTGGAGGAGAGAAGGAGATTTTGAGCCGTGCTTGCAAGGAGAAGAGGAGCCAATTCTGCCATCTAGAGGAGGAGCCGAATCTGCCATTGCTGAAGTGTCTTAGAGTTCTTTCTATCCTTATTTGATTTCAATGTTTAATTTAGATTTTTTTTTATTTAGTTATGAAGACCATGCGTAACTAAATTTTTTTTTAGGTAGAGATGAATTCAAAGCCATGATCATATGTTTCGTATGAATTGATTACATTCAGTTATTGTTTCATAAACCGTGAATGCAATTTACTTATCTGTTTTATTAAGAACTTGTTCTTGTGTGTTGATTCAGGGTGCACACTTAATTTGCATGCAGGGATTTGATGCTAGAATACAAGGGAATTTCACCTTATCGTTATGAACTTATATTTACAAGTAATAAAAGTCACTAGTCATGATTGTGTTAAGTAAATTCCTGGCAGGAGTATCATGCAGTTCATAGTTACGAATGCCTTGTCAATGCTTATAATTTTCACACAACTTAATGATCTTTGATATGTATCTCTATCATGCTGTTCATATAGGGAACTTGATAAGAATAATTTGATTGCGTCGCTGAGTCTAATTCAATGAAATAAGGAAAATCTGAGAGTTAATTAGTGCAGTTCACGATTAATTTGGGGCATTGTCATTCATGGTTTATAGGAATAATAATTGGAAATTGATTTGTATGCATATGTGTCATGTGTGGAGAAGAATCTTCTAGCTAGCCTTTCACCCAATTTTCGTACCAAACTTAATTTGTTTCTTCAATTTACTTGTTTTAAGTTAGAATTCGTCCAAAAACCTTCCCCCTTATGTTTAGTGTCAGTTTAGCTTAGTTTTCAGTTTTTAAGTCTAATTAGTGTTGATTAGCATCCCTCCTAATCCCTAGTCTATAACGATCTCTACTTACGCATACTACAATTATCTAAAAGAGAGTTTAATTTGTGTGTTAGTTTTTACCACATCAATATCGGACTGGCAATCATATTTTCCCTCATAAAGGAAAACTAATGAAAATGGCTTGAAAACTTTGAGTTTTAACGATAAAGATAAAATAAAAGGTAAAGTGAATAGTATCAGGATTGACTTTTTAGTGTAAAAATGTGATTTTTTGTTAAAGTGAACAGTACCGGAAGTTTTTCATTAAAATTCCCTTGTCATAATTACTGCAGGGTGGTGCAATTTAGCCCTGATCTACTCGATGGTGGTTACGATGGATGCTAGGTTTTGCAGATCTATGTGATCTTAAAGGGTTGTATTGCTCGGATTTGTAGAGCAGTTCGAGATGAGCCGAAATAAGGTGCAACAACTTAGTTCAACTCGTTCTAAATCTAAATAAGGTGCAGCAACTCAATCTGAGATTGTTGCGGGAGTTTGTAGTTTTAGGTGCGGGTTAATAATCCAAATTCCAAATGCCCCCTTGTTAAGGAAAAAACAAAAAAGGGTATGTTTTTATACTTGGTGTCCACTCTCAATTGGCTACAAACAAACATAGACAGTGCCCAAAGGGTACCATTTGACATGTTCTCAACCAAGCTAGATTGATTGCTAGTTATTATCTTATCTTATATGATTTATTATTATTCAAACCAATAAAAATGAACAGAAAAACAAATACAGAGCAACTTTAGATTTCCTGCTAAATTTAGTCTTTCTCTTTAATTCATTGCGTACATGGTCCAAACCCTACCTTCTCTCTACAATATAGATTAGAGTAGTATTGCATTTTTTATTATTATCGAAACCAATAAAAATGAATAAAAAAAAAAAATCAAATGCAGAACAAGTGTAGATTGCATGTTGGATTGAGTCGTTCTCTTCAATCTACTGGGTCCAAATCCTACTCCCTCTCTAGAGTAGTAATATAACATTACTTGCATAAAAAAACCAAGAAGAAGAGCTACTTACACAAAAACAAAAAGAATGAATTATTATGGCATCCAGGAAAAACACACATGCACCCACAACCACAAGACAAAAAAAAGAAAGACTTTCTCTCGAATTAAACAAAGGAAAAGTGAATAACGTGAAGAAAAGAATACAGACGAGAGAGATGCTGGCTGGCTTTAGGAACTTTGGATTGGAGGAGTGGATCCATATAGATGGCGTGCGTTATCTTTATGCATGCAACGCATGTAATATCCGAGCTACGATGATGACGGTGAACCCGTTTCATGTAAATCCTTCTAAGATGGCGGTTGAAAAGGAAAAGACAACCGATCGAGCTGCTGCAACTCCATGCTGTGCCTTCTTATTGTCTAGCTAAGGCTGCGGACCTACTTCCCACATGCATCGTACCTCTGGAGTTGTTTGAACACACTGATAGACTTGTAGGTTCCACTCCTACACCCCTATGTCGACTCTGACAGTAGTCATGATCAGCAGGAGCAGCAGGCATGGCCATTAGTCTCACTGGGTTGGGCCCCACACTGACGGCCTTGTCCCGCCGACAGCTCAACAACCCCATATTATTGTTATTACTTCCCAGTGAAGGCGGCCGTCGTTTGCTGCTCGTCATTACCTTAGTTCCCAAGTCAGCATCATCATGGTGATCATGGTGGTCGTGATCGTATTGGTCGGATCGATCAAAGCCCTCTGCCGTAGTGACGCTCCAGTCGATGCTGGCCTCACTTGGTTCGTAACAGTATTGATCGGTCGATAACGATGCCATAGGCGGGTCATGTTGACGACGATCTAAGCTTGTTCGATGGGAATTGTTATTAGCACTCAAACGTCGAGCAGCAGTGAAGCTAATTGCATCCTCAACCAATGAAAAAGAATCCCGGCGAGTGCGGTAGTAATTTTCAAACATGGATGACGATGGTGGAGGGTAGGTGGGCATATCGGCATTAGTTGCTTGCAGCGTTTGAGTAGTACTGGTTGAGAAGCTTTCGATTTCGAACAAGTCAGAGCTTGCATCGCTTCCCACATCCTCATCTTTATTATTAACATCACCAATTAGTCGGCCGCATTGAACATGATCAGTAGTACTGTTTGATGGGTTCCGGATTGAAGTTGTTGCCGATGGCAAGGAAGTTCCCCCGTCCCCATTGAATTTTAGTATCGGAAAGCTAAATCCGCCACCAGAAGCAGCAGTACTAATACAGCTAGTCGTAGTAGTGGTAGAGTTTGCGGCTGGTTGCACATTGATGGTTGTATTGCTGACTTGGCGTTCCCAATTCCGACGACGTTCATCACCCCAGAGCACATGGCGATTGTCGTCACGAGGCCTTGCAATCGAAGAGTTGTTCAAATTGGCAGCTGTAATAACACTAGTAGTTGGAGCAGCTGGTGGTATCTCATCCTTGGTGAGAATTAATTGGGCCGGCATGTTATAAATATCTCCGCCTCCAACTCTGACTATTGATGATGATGATGACATGCTTGATTTCTTTTCCTGAGCAACAACTTGTACTGATTTCTTGCCCGAGCAGGGGCATCTCGCTGACCTCCTCGGAAAAGCAGTAAGCCATCTTGGACTCAATGACATTGTCTTGGACCATCCTCTTAATTTCTTCTTATTAGTAATCTGATGGTCATCGTGATGAGGACGAGGAGGATGATTTGTACTAGTCCGGCTGCGCAAAGGCACCATGAATGCGACATTACTATTGGTGGCGGTGGTAGTGCAGCGAGGATTGGATAGGAGGCCAGTCTGGCTGTTCCAACTGGCTTCGGAGGAAGCAGTTGGGGTGGCACTGGCAGAAACGACATGGAAAGAACGAGCTCGGAGACGCAGAGGGTAGTTAATAGCAGCATCATCAACTGAAGATACTGAGGGAGAGCCAGCAGCCCAAGAGAATCTCGAAACGCCAGACAGCCCATCAGAAACCTGCACCTACCAATATTCCATACATCCATCGTCACTCAATCATCACATTAAATCCACAAGCATGTGTTATTAATTAAGATACTGCCATTACTTCTCCTTCTTATACAAGCAATAGAAGGAATAGGGAATCAAACTTATGACCTCGAGTGCAGAGGTAAATGCTCTTAACCTGTATTGGCGACCTACCTTATGGCTTTGGCCATCAATGTGGTTGTTGATGCTTAGTTGGTTGAAGTATTTGTGGGCGTCAAAAATGCTGATTTCTTGATCAGCAGTAACACTGATACTAGTAGTACTCGAATATCGATCCACGTCTACATGAAGCTGCTGCTGCTTAATGGTGTTGTCGTTGTAGTAGTATCGCGGTTGTTGATCAACATTTGCGGTTGCAGTTGCAGCGTGATCTGTATCTTTGTCTCTGAGCATGATGATGGTGCTGCTGCTGCTGCTGCTTCCTGATACCGATCTGACACCTCCTCTCGTTACTCTCCATCTCTCCATTATTTTCTTTCCTCTTTTTCTATTTAATTTCGTCAGGAATATTATTGCCTCTCTGCTTCCGTACTTGCTATATAATTATACATATATATATATATATGTGTGTGTGTGTGTGTGTGTGTGTTTTTGTATGTATGTATGTATGTATATTCTGGACTGAAGGCCCCTCGCAGTTGAGTACAAAAATGTCCAATCGATCACTCATCTCACAATATCATCAACTCAATCATGAAGCTCTTTTCAAAAACGTCATTTTTCAGTTTTTACCCAAATACTTGCTGTTTGTATCTGAATTTCTTTCTATTTAAGGATTAAACCTGTTTAATTTTACTTAAATTCGTCAGTTATTTTGTTTCCTCGTCATTGTTTGGTGTGATTAATGACTTTAATACTTTTCTAAACTTAGGCATTCTAAAGTTTGGAGTTGCATATGATTTTGAAACAAATTAACTGACAACTTTTGTCATTAATAAACTTGATACAGAATTCGACTTCCAAACGTGTCCTTCGTCTGCTGATAATAACAAGGGGATTGAGAATGGAAAGAATCGTTTTGACAAACAACCGTCTTTTTTTACAGGCTATAGATATTCTAGATTAAATTCATCTTAAACTATAGAGAGAGGGAGGGTTAGAACTCTACACAGTGAATTAAGGAAGTTCTTATCCATCAGGATAATCCGCCACTTGTATTTAATGAACAACCATTAGACGTAAATTAATGCCAGAGCTAACCAGGAGTGTGAAAACATTTGCAAAAAGAATGTCTCCAAATCCTAACCCATACAGGGTACATAAAATCGTTAGTATTTTTTTTTCGGGTTTTTTTTCCTTTCTTTTTCTTGAGCAAAAGATATTGTAGGAGAGGGGGTGGGTTTAGGCTCACAATAGGCCAGCAATAATGTGGTTCAAATTTGCTTTTGGCAAGAATTGAACCAAAGGCCTCTCACTTACAAGTGAAGAGGAATACCACTAGACCGTAGTACTAAGTGACATTTTTTTGGTGCTTAATCCAGTATGTAATATTTCTCGGATAAATTTTAGGCAGGGCATATGTGTGTATTTCTATTTTTCTTGGCACGCATGTTCTTAAGAAGATACCAAATGCAACTTATGTAAGACGCCAGCTTATTTTCTTCCAGTTCAATAGTTTTTTTTAAGAGAGAAGGTCTTAATAGGTTCGAGATCTCCAGTTCCATAAGAAACTACTAGTTACCCATGTCAGTATAATCTTCACAAACACAGAATCCCCATTGAAATCTTGTTGGACCTCTCATTAGCAATCTAAACACACATACGCAGTAGGCATTAGCCCGGGGGCCAGTTCATTTGCCGTCCTCCAAGAAGATGGATGTGAAGGTGATAAACCGATTGACCTGCAGGAAGACATTGCTCTATATTATGTTGTTGAAGTTTTGGTTTAAGTTTTCTTTAATTTCTGATAATGTGAATGTACAAGGATACACATATATAAAAGAAAAGAGAAGAAGAGAAGAACCAGTTACATCCAATGGTCCTTAGGCTATACCTTAGAGACCAGCTATACTCCTTAATTGAAGGAGATTACACCAAACACTAGATATCAGCCATACTCCTTAATTGAAGGAAACCAACTACAAGACTAAGAAGAGATTTACACATAATCTGTTAGGAAACACAGAAGGTGCCGTGCAGCCTATGCTGTACCCATGATTTCTGGAATTGCATAATCAGTCCTATGCAGCATCAGTCAATACTCCCCCTCAAGCTGGATCGAGGAGTATAGTCGATCCAAGCTTGCCGAGAAGACGTTGAAAATGTGCAGACGAGAGAGCCTTAGTGAACATGTCTGCCAATTGATCATAACTGCGAGTGAAGACCGTTTGGATGAGTTGTGACTGAACTTGATTTTTTTTTTTTTTTTTTTTTTTTTTTTTTTTTTTTTTTTTTTTTTTTTCTTTTTTTTTTTTTTTTTTTTTTTTTTTTTTTTACTTGAGCTCGGATGAAGTGACAATCAACTTACTTGGTTCTTTCATGAAAAACTGGGTTTTCAGCAATGTGCATGGCTGCTTGATTATCACACATGAGAGACATAGGAGTTGTACTCGAGAACCCTAAGTCAAACAAGAGACTTTTAAGCCAAATCAATTCACATGCAGTGGCAACCATTGCTTGATACTCAGCTTCATCACTGGAGCGAGCAATGACTTGTTGTTTCTTACTCTTCCAAGTAACAATGTTGCCTCCAACAAATGTGCAATAACCAGTGGTGGATTTTCTGCCGATTGCACTGCCTGCCCAGTCAACATCAGTGTATGCATGAATCTTAGTGGAATGGTTATTACGCATGAGGATACCTCTATCAATGGACCCTTTGAGATAGCGTAGAATCCATTTAAAAATATTTAGATGTTCTAATGTGGGTGCATGCATGAATTGACTAACTAAACTCACAGCAAAGGTAATGTCTGGACGGGTGATAGTAGGATAGATAAGCTTGCTAACCAATCTTTGATAATAGGTGACATTCTTGAGTGCCTCGCCATGAATGGTAAGCTTAAGTTTACTCTCAATTGGGGTGACAACTGGCTTGCAATCGGTGAACTTAGCTTCCTCGAGTAGATCCATGACATACTTGCGTTGGTTGAGAAACAAACCCCGTTGAGAGGTTGCCATCTCAATGCTAAGAAAATACTTCAACTTTCCAAGATCCTTGATGGCAAAGGTTTGATGTAAGGAGGCTTTCAAGCTCCAATTTCAGATGCATTGTCACCTGTGATAATAAGATCATCTACATAAATAAGGACCACCAATTTCCCACGGGTTCCATTCCGTACAAACAAGGAAGAATTGGCATTACTTTTGAGAAAACCTTCCCTTTCCAACATTGAACTAAGCTTGGCATACCAAGCTCTTGGTGATTGCTTCAAACCGTAGATAGTCTTGTGCAGTTTGCACACCATGCCATCCTTTGCTGGAGAGTAACATGGAGGAATTTGCATGTAAACTTCCTCCTGAAGCTCTCCATGAAGGAAAGCATTTTTAACATCCATCTGGTATAACGACCAACCACAATTGACGAAAACTGAAAGTAGCACACACACTGTGTTCATTTTTGTCATTGAAGTGAAGGTTTCTTTGTAATCAATCCCAAGGGTTTGGGTGAAACTACGAGCAACAAGCCGAGCTTTGTGTCGTTCTATTGAGCCATCAGCCTTGAGTTTAGTTTTGTAAACCCAATGACTCCCAACTGCCTTCTTTCCTGGAGGTAATTGAAGGATACTCCAAGTACAATTTTCCTCCAAAGCTTGAAGTTCTTCAGACATGGCTTTCCTCTAGTGAGGGATGAGATTGGCCTCTTGAAAAGTGTTAGGCTTTACAAGATTTGAGACTGCAATAAGAAATGCCACATGAGATTTTGAAAAACTGTGATTACTTATTGCTTCAGAGATGGGATGTCTAGAAGCATAAGTAACATAGTCTACAAACTTGGCAGGAGCCTTCATTTCCCGAGGTGGATTCCTTTTAACATCTTGAGAAGGTTGGTGAATGAAGGGTTGAGGTGTAGCCTTAAGATCACCATTTCCTTGTGAGTTGGGTTGAGAAACTGTTGAAGTTGTCGTTTCCAACATGACCTCTTGCTCTTGACTGCCATTGCCTTTTAAGGAATCATCATGATGCAAAAACTCAGTGTATATAGGCAATGGAAACAAGTCCCACAAAAACTCCCCCTTACATGAAGTAGAACCCTTTTTAAAGAATGGAGTTTCTTCCTCAAAGTGAACATATCTGGATACAACACACTTGTTAGTGACATGATTAAAACATTTATATCCTTTTTGGGTGGAGGAGTACCCCATAAACACGCATTTGACTACCCTAACATCCAATTTGTCACGATGCTGAGTTTGCACATGTACAAAACAAGTGCTACCGAAAACTTTCAAGTGTGAAAGGTTTATTGGTCTGTCTTTAAGGGTTTCATATGGTGATCTGAAACCTAGAACATGAATAGGAAGCCTATTGATCAAATAGGTGGCTGTAAGGATTGCATATGACCAAAACGTTTTGTGTACATTCATATGCACCATGAGTGCTTGAGTCTCTTAAGTAGATCTCTATTCTTCCTCTCGGCTATCCCATTTTGTTGTGGGGTTCCCACACAACTTGTTTGGTGAATAATTCCTTGTGAACTTAAGTATTGAGTCATGATATTGATAAGAACTCAGTGCCATTGTTTGATCTTAAGGTTTTAACAGTTGAGTGAAATTGTGTTACAACCAACTTATGAAAATTTTTAAAAATAGTTGGAACTTCACTTTTAGATTTCATGAGATAAAGGAAAGTGATTTGAGTGTAATCATCCACAAATATAAGAAAATGCTTGTAGCCCTCTATTGATTCAAAAGTAGGACCCCATACATCAGTGTGTACCATTTCAAATGGTGTACTAGACTTGGACATTGAAGAACCAAAAGGTAGCCTGGCAGATTTGGAAAAATGGCATGTATCAAACTTAAAAGATGGGTGACAAAACATGGGAAATAGTTTTGACAAAACAACTTCGGATGGATGACCTAGTCTTTGATGCCAAAGTTGTTGATCCTTGGGTTTACTTGAGTTTGCTTGAAGAGCTTTAGGAAGATGGGACTTCTTGCAAAAATAATATAGGCCATTTAGCCTTCACCAATCATCTCTTGTTGATACAATCATGAAATACCACATTAGTTGGTGAGAAAGTGGCAGTACATTTTAAAGTAAATGTGAGTTGCCATATGAAGAGTAATTTAAAAGGAAACGATGGAACATATAGAGCACTAGACTCGATGTTTTTTGACATCAAATTTAATTTTCCTCTGCCCATCATCGAAATATTTTTTCCATTTGCAATGGACACTTGAGAAGGTTTTGAAAAAGGATGAAAGTCATGCAAGTTTGAAACTTTATTTGTCATGTGATCAGTGGCACCTGAGTCGATTATCCAACAATTAAGTTCAACACTAGTTTGAAGTGCAGTCAAGTCCAACAATCAAGTTCAACACTAGTTTGAAGTCCAACAATCAATGGCACCTGAAGCTTTATTAGGATGAACATGGTCATGGTCAGCAAGGAACCCAGAAAACTGGCCAAGAAGTGTAATGTGGTTATCATTGTCCACCTTAGGAGTTGGTACAACCTCTCCATGCCCTTTGCTTTGAAGATATGCTGCAAACTTGTTGACAAGAGATAAGAGGTTGGCAGTGAAGTCAACTGAGCCATGGTTGAGCAAGCTCGAGGCATGATTTGCAACATGTTGTGCTTTGTAGGAGGTTATCTGTGATTGACCTAATATTCTTATTAAAATTAGGTTTCAACTTTGGATGTAATTCCCAACACCTTTCTTCCACATGTCCTGTAGCATTGCAGTATTTGCACTTTAAGTGTGGATTCCTCCACTTGTACACTTTGTTGTCAGTTTGCCTATAGTTTGCGGCATACCCTCGAGCCTCAGGTAGTTTGTGGTTTGACTCTTGGTTCATCACCCTTCTTCTTACTTCTTCACGTTGCACAGTAGCACAAATATTTTGAAAAGATGGCAGTTCCATGCTCATTAAAATGTGACTTTTGAGATCTTCATACTCGGAGCTTAAGCTTCCTAGCAACTGATATATCTTATCTTCCTCAGCACGTTTGAGAAGAATAGATGGATTAGTGGTGTTTGTACCATACTTGACCAATCCCGAAACTACCGAGCACCGGCCAACGCTATACTGTCAAGGACCCAGAAGAGTTCCCCTCCGACCAGGAGGCCAATCACTACTCGACACGTGTCAAGATTAGAAGCCAATCAGAGCGCAGCACGTGTCAACATCAAGAACCAATCATAACATGACACATGTCAATGTGACAAAGCTACAAGTTTTTCTATAAATAGGGGTCATTCCCCCACAATATTGCCTAATGCCATTTTGTGTTAAATCATTCACAAGAACTCACTAAATTGAGAGCTTGATCCTTTGTACTTGTGTAAGCCCTTCACTACTAATAAGAACTCCTCTACTCCGTGGACGTAGCCAATCTGGGTGAACCACGTACATCCTGTGTTTGCTTCTCTGTCTCTATTTATTTACGTACTTATCCTCACTAGTGACCGAAGCAACCAAGCGAAGGTCACAAAACCTGACACTTTCTGTTGTACCAAAGTCTTCGCTGATTTTGTGCATCAACATTTGGCGCCGTCTGTGGGAAACGACACTTATTCCTACTCTCTTCAGCTGTGTCAAGCTGGTTTCTATCATTCGTACACTTTCTTTTGATCAGGCATCCCTCTCCAACATGGGAAGCGAAGGAAGCCACAGCACACAGAATGACACCCCCCTTGCACATAGTGCGAAACAACGAAAGAAGGAAGGAAAACGAGTTCTTCTTCAAGCTAAAGTCGATGAGTTGGAAGCTCAGAACAACAAGATAGCAATAAGGAATGAGGTCCTCCAGGAGCAATATGAGAAGCTCTTCGAGACACTCCACGAAGCTAGGCAAGCTCAGACACGCGAGCTTGTTGCCCCCGTGGAAGTCAACCATCAACTGGGTGCCCTCCAACATGGAGGGTCACATGCATTCGACATAGATATCCCTGATAGGGAACAGATTACCCCTCGACTTGATAATCAACATGAGGCTTCTCTTAACCCAGTTGCTTCGACCCGAACCATGAGAAGTGGAGGGAGACACCTCTTTACTGAAGGGGCAGAAGGATCGAAAGCAGTCTTTCGCGATTGTCGGGATTTCCTGAAGCAACGTCGAGAGAATTCCATCCATATAAGCTCAAAGATTAATGACCCAAGGATTTCTGAGAGACTCGGTCCCCTGCCACGGCCCAAGCCGGCCACCAATTTGGGGAAGGGGCAACAAGTCCCAGAGAGACATGAGGGTACAGGGGACTCAGAGGTGTTCCGACAGACATACCCTGGAAGCCAGTACAGCGAGTCCAGGGAAAAATCACATGCCCTTGATCAAACCTTCCTAATTCCAAGAGGAGATGGAGATTTACGAAAGAAAGCTCCAGTGACACATAACTCCGCTCAGGACCCCCTTGTCCTACAACTTCTTGAGGAAGTAAACAAGTTGAAGGCTGAACGTCAGGCTGAAATACCTGACTGGAACCAACCCAGGCCTGGCCCTCTTACAAGGAGGATCCTCAACACCCCCCTTCAAGCAAAGACAAAGCAAAAGCTTGGCTTGCAACTTTATACTGGAAAAGAGGACCCGATTGAGCACCTTAACCTCTTTGAGTCCACCATGGCATACCGGATGCACACCGACGAAGAGCGATGTCTTCTCTTCCCCTCCACCCTCTCTGGCGGAGCTCTAAATTGGTATTGTCGTCTTACACCTGAGACGGTAGACTCATTTGAGGAATTGAGGAAACTATTTGTTTCCCAACACATTTTCCAAACCGATCGCTTGCACTCTGCAGATGACCTGTACACTATCCGCCAGAAGCCAGACGAGTCATTACGTATGTATGCTGGCCGCTTCAGCCATGAATACTCCCGGTGTGCCGAGGCAGACGACAAGACTGCCCTCAAAGCCTTCACGGCAGGCCTACGTGATTGTTTCTTTAAATACATGATCAATGCCAATACTTGGAAGACTTACTCTGAGGTGATGGCGCAGGCTTATAACCATGCCTCCGC